GTTTTCTCCGAAACCACGCCTCAAACGCAAAAAAGTCACTCCTGCTCAATTACGTAGGTCAACGGGCGCCATCTAGTGGTGAAAACCCCATTAACTCAGGCAGGAAGGTTTTCGAATAAAATGCAAAAAACCGATTTTTTTGACAGTTTTTGGCTGATAAACACCGGAAATTTCGGGCTGCAATTTTTTGCCCATTTGTTTCAAAATCTGGGCAATTTTTTGCGTAGAAAACGTTTTTTTCCGGAAAATTTCCCTTAACAATGAGAAAGTCACCGCCAGTAGGGGAAGCAGGTGCAGATTTATGCTGGAGATGGTTTTTGTCCATTTGCTCCGAAACGCGGCGTCTAGCGACAAAAAGTCACTCTTGAGGAAACATGCAGAGTGTCCGGCGCCACCTAGTAGTGAAAGTCCGAACGCCCCAGCCAGGCGAGTTTTCGCACGAAAGGCAAAAAACCCATTTTTCTTACAGTTTTTTGCTAACAATCCTGTCAAATTCAGGGCTGGAATTTTTTGCAAAAATTTACCAAAATCCCCACCTTCCACTGCATTAAAAACCCGAATTTGGCAAAAGTTCACTAGGCCCTAGCAAAGTTAGTGGGCAACGTTTGGGCTTGAGGATGGTTTTTGGCCATTTTCTCCGAAACGCGGCTTCAAGTGAAAAAACCGCGCTCTTAGCAAACCGCGAGTTTTCAATGATTTGTCGCGAAACCCCCCGAGTTTTTGACTTTTGCCGAAAAAAAATTTTGGCACAACTTTGCCTGCTTGATTGCCCCCAGGGTTTCGCCCATACCTCGGCCAAAACTACACATTTTGCCAAATTTCCAAAACCCGCTTGTTGCCACTTCAATTGCCAACAATTTTTGTTTCCTGGCCCCAACCCGTATCTTTGCCCCGTTTCGAACTAATCGCGATTTTCCCATTCAAACTCCTCTGCAGAAAATGCCCAAGGGAAAACCCATTTTCTCCCACTCGGAAGCTCCCCACTGGCACGGGGCCTCTTTAGAGGGTCCATCAAAGACCAATTTTTCGAAATCCCTAAAAAAACGGCGCTCAAACCGGCATTTTAGGGGGTTTTAAAGGCGGCTTCAGATATCTGAAGCCAGTTTTAAACCCGCGTTAAACAGCCGCTGATCGAGCCGGGAAAAATTCCCGCATGTAAAACACGGAAAACCTTCGACCCCAGAGGGAAAACCCACGAGTTTCCACTGCTAGAAAATCGCAAAAGCGGCCAAAACCCCTTTTAAATTGCCCCATGAACTCCAGGCTGTGTGCCCTCGCTTCCCCTGCCGAATAAACAGAATAACGAACAGCGCAACTAAGCGAACGAAAATTATTCGAATGTGATTCGGATCGGGCTCTCTCTCGTCTCTCTTTTGCCTATTGTTAATCCCATCACGTGCGGCCGCTCCAACCCCGGGACGTCTAGGAGCGCCTGCCGGAATATTTATTTCTTGCGGCCGCAAAAAATCCCTCGCTGCAAATTTAAAGCGCCGTCCAGGTTTGCCCCATGTTTCCCCACTTTCCCCCCAACGTTTCGTTCGCCCCCCCTGGCTCCATCATCAGCCCCATCCTCATCAAGACCTTGGGGTGCAGCAAAAGAGCCGATTTGTTCGCCTGAACAATTTGCAATTTTTGTCCCCCCACGGGGTGGAAAATCATTAGCCTCGATCCCCTTGAAGGACGTCAATTGGCCATTTCAGCCAATTTATTGGCGATTCGGAGCCGATTACCTATTTTTCATTAAGTAATTGTGTCGTTAAAGATGCATTAAGGAGGCTAATTAAAGCGGCGTTCAACTGGGGGGAAAACGCGCCGATTTGGGGGGATCCGGCAGTGCAAACTCGTTCGAGAATTCACGTTTTCTTCTGATTTGATTGCAGGAATTTTTCCCTGCTCGATTAGCGCACGTTTAAGCGGGTTTAAAGGGGGCTTCAGATTTATGCAGAAATTTTGCGTTTTTTTCCCAGTCAAGGCGCCATAACTTCAAGGTCGTTCGTGCGATTTTCAATCTGAAAGAAGCCAAATTTCGGCAAAAGTGTGGACTTGCCAGGGAGGGTTTCACGTTTCCAATCGGCAAGGTATTAACAAAGTTATGGCTTTTTATAAAAAGGCTTCAGAATTCTGAAGCAGTTTTAAAACCCCTTAAAACAGCCGTTTGCTCAAATTTTTTTTTAGATTCTAGACACGTTCAGTTTGCTGAGCCTCATTGTGACGCTTTTCACGACTGACGAGCCTTAGTTTTCGAAAAGCTGCGGTTTTTTTAAATAAAGCGATGGTTTTTTGAACATAAAACCACACTGAGGAAGAAAACTGCGATTAATGCGAAAGCCATTAAAGTTACGGACTGGGGCCCTGAAATAAGAGTTGTGGCAAATTCAACTGTCTATCACAGCCTTTTGACAAAATGGCAAATTACCGATAGGGGCCGAAGTTATAGGCAAAAGACTATAAGCAAACTGTAGCAACTCACTGAGTTCATGGTTGCACCAATTCAAAGGCGATTAGCGTTCAAACGGCAAGAGATACGAATTAAGGCCTTTAGAGAGAGTTTATCGACAATTTGTTTGGCTTCAAAAGCCTTTTGGAAAATAGGCAAAAAATTGAAAGCCCCCGACGTTATAGGCAAAAGACTGTGAGCAAACCGTAGCAACTCACTGAGTTCATGTTTGCCCCTATTAAAACTCTTTAGCTCTCAAACGGCCGGAGATACGAACTAAGGCCATGAAACAAAGGTTATAGAGCATGCAATTTGCTGCCCTTTGGGTTTTTAGATTTTTGAAAACAGTCGAAACTGCCTGACTTATAGGCAAAAGACTTCGAGACAACTTTGTTCACATTGCCTTTTATGCTGGCTCAATTTCAAAACCTTGTAGTTCCCAAACAGTAGCCGATACAGACTAAGGCCTTACCACAAAGGTTATAGACGCTGACATAACCTTTAAACGGGTTTTGGAAAATTCCAAAAATTTTAACAAATGCCAAAGTTGTAGGCCAGAGACTGTGAGTAGACCGTGGGCCCACTGGCTTCGTGTTGGATCACATTCAAAGTGCTGTATTTTGCAAACGGTTGCAGATACGAACTAAGGCCATGAAATAAAGGTTATCGAGAATGCAATGGGCTACACAGCCGTTTTTAGATTTTTTGAAAATAGTGGAAATTGTTTGACTTATGGGCAAAAGACTATGAGCCATTAGTAGACACACTGACTTCAAGGTGGCTCAGACACAAAGTCTTGTATTGGCGAAACGGTTGCAGAGTGAAATTAAGCTCAGAACGTAAGGACTATAGAGGATTAAATTTTCAACAAACCTATTTTTGAAATTTTGAAAAATTTCGATAGATTCAAAAGTTACAGGCAAAGATAGGCGAGGCAACAGTAGACACACTGACTTCATAATTGCTCAACTTCAATGTCTCGTATTTCGCAAACGGCTAACGATACCAACTAAGGCCATGAAACAAAGGTTATCGGGAATTCAATTGGCGGCCCAATAGTTTTTGAAACTGTCTAAAATAGGTACAGTTGTCAGCCCTATGGGTAAAAGACTATGAGCCAGGCATTCGGCACACTGACTTTATGTTTGCTCAACTTCAAAGGCGCGAATTTCCCAAACGGTTGCAGATGCGAACTAAGGCCGCGCAATGAAAGTTTTAGAGAATCTAATTAGCTGCAAAACCCGTTTTGGATTTTTTGCAAACAGTGAAAACTGCCCGACTTATGGGCAAAAGACCATGAGCCAACAGTAGACACACTGGCATCATGTTAGCTCAACTTCAAAGCCCTGGATTTCCCAAACCGTTATTGATACGAACTAAGATCTTGAGACAAGGTTTCTAGAGAATACAATTTGCAACAAAAATATTTTTAAAATTTTTGAAAATTATGAAAAGTGCCAGAACGATGGACACACCACTGCGAGCTGACAGTACACACATTGACTTCATGGTTGCTCGAGTTCAAAGTCTTGTATTTCCTAAACGGCTACCCATACGAACTAAGGCCATGAAACAAAAGTTATCGAAAATGACATGGTTGGCAAACTAGTTTTAAAATTTTTTTGAAATAGTAAAAATTGTCAGACTTATGGGCAAAAGACTATGAGCCAAAAATTGGGCACATTAATTTAATATTTACTCAAATTCAAAGTCCTGTATTTCCGAAACTGTTGCCGATACGAACTAAGGCCATGAAGCAAAGTTTATCGATAATCCAATGGGCGGCCCAGTAGGCTCAGAAATCTTTCAAAATAATGAAAATTGACAGACTTATGGGCAAGAGATCATGGGCCGACAAAGGGCACACTGACTTCAAGTTTACTCAACTTCAAAGTCCTGTATTACCCAAACGGTTGCAGATACGAACTAAGGCCATGAAACAAAAGTTATAGAGAATCGAATTTGCTGCAAAACCCGCTTTGCGGGTTTTGCAAATAGTGAAAGCTGCGGGACTTATGGGCAAAAGACTATGAGCCAACAGTGGACACACTCACTTCATGTTGGCTCAACTTCAAAGTCCCTTAATTCCCAAACGGTTGCAGATACGAGCTAAGGCCATGAAACGAAGATTTTAGAGAATGAAATTCCCAGCCTCCCAGTGTTGGAAACCGTGAAAAATATTGAACGTTGTCAAAGTTACGGGCCAAAAACTGGGCAACTCGAAGCCAAACAGTCCAGGCGATTGTGTGGATCGGTTAATTCGAGACGCAAAGCCCGGTGCACTTCTGGAAAAAGGAAAGTAATCAGTTTCCGTGTTCATGGAAATCCGGCCGATTTGCTTATTTAGCAAATCGGGGCGCTTTAAGCGGGCGCGTAAAAAGGAAATCAGCCCCGGAATTGGAACACATTGCACAGGTTTAACAGAATTATTTGCATAGTCTGGATATCTTCGACCGGATGGGGGTTTACATATTCCGATTGCCGATCGTGCTGTTTCCAGTTTCTTTGCGCGTTGCCAGATCTGCGATTTCCCCCCCAAGTCAAGGATAGAAAAACTCTATTAGCTCTAACATCTATTAGGCCCAAGGGCCACACACGAGTGAGGTTAGGACAATCAGTGCGCAAACTCGATGTTCTGGTGGCAGGCCTGCAGGCCACGCCCCAGCCTACGCCATATCTCCCTCCTTTTCTTGCACACGCACTCGCCCATGAGGATCAGAAGCCCCGCCCCAATGCCCACGTAGAAGAGCGCAATCGCTGTCACAATGTCATTGAGGCGTGCGCTCTGGAAACTCGACTGCTGATCGCACTTGGGCAACTGGGGCTCAATGGAGGACTTCATGTAGTCGTGCACGCCGCTCTCCCTCATCTTGATCAGGCTAAAACCGCCCCTAGGATCAGAACCTACCGTCCCTAGGGCCGCCCTAGGGTCGCCCTAGTGTCCCCACCTACCAGCGATCGATGGCCTTGCGATAGGGCGACGTGGGCGACATCGGGAAGGCCACGTAGTTCTTCGTTTTGGGCGTCTGAATCTCCATGATCTCGAACTTGCACTTGTAGCCGCTGATCTTCAGGAAGGCCTTGCGCGCCACCCGGCGGCTGGCGAAGAAACCATAGTTGCCCTGCGTGGCCTTCAGCAGACCTTCGGTGATGTTGTTGATGTTCTTGCGCAGGTACCCGCGCAGGTAGATCTGGTTCAGCTGCGTCTCGTTCATCGACTGGGGGTTTCGCCGTGGATGACCTTGGCAAGGCTCGCGCCGTGGACTTACCCGCAGGAAAACCTCGTCTGGACTGTTGGTTGCGTACCCGATGTCGTAGTCACTGGCCAGCAGGTCGGCGATAGTCCGAATCTCCGTCAGCTTGACCGAGAGTTTCGAGGTTATGAAGGCGGAGTAGGCGTTGTAGATCACCAGGGCGAAAACCAGCGAGATGACAATGATCATGTTGCCGGCAGCCGATTTGGCCTGGATTTGGGTGCCTGAAGGACCAAATCAAGTTTTTGCCTACGCCCAACTGACCATTTCCCTACGTGCAGTAGGCTGTTGGCTTGAACGCGGTAGGATTTTTCCAGTTTGCCTCTACATTAAATGGCTCCAATGGCGCAGGCCAAAGTTCAAAAATTCACAGCTCCCAAACCCAAACTGACCCAAATTTGCCAATATGTGCCCCATGGAGAGCCCAGTTGCGTCTCCAAGTGGAAAAAGTTTCAACCTTCTACCATCATCAGGGGAGTTGATTTGCCATCAGTTGCTCCAATGCAACTGATGGCAAAGCCGCAGCAACTGGCACACGATGACTGCACTATTGAAAAATGTATTCCTTGAAATCCAGAAAAGGCACGAATGTGCCCTTAACGGCATTGGATGGAGCAGTCTTTTCTCCCTAAATGAGCAAAATTTGACTGGCATACGAGCCCAGGACAATGCAGAAATAATTTTTCCAGTTTGCCTCTACATCAGTTTGGTCCCAAAGGTGAGGACCAAAGTTTAAAAACTCACAGCTACAAAACCCAAACAGACCCAAATTTGCCTATATGTGCCCGATGAAGAGCCCATTCGCATCTCCAAGTGGACAAAGTTTCAACCTTCTACCATCATCAGGAGAGTTGAAAAACTGCTCTAATGCTACTGACCGCAAAGCTCCGTAGCTGCTCCAAAATAACGGCAACATACTAAAAAACTCATATCTTTTCAACCAAAAAAGATAGAAACTTGCCCTAAACGCCATTGGGTAGAGCACTGTTTAGCTCATAAGTGCGGCGAGTTTCAGTGGCGTACCGTATCGGGAACATTTTGAAAAAACCCGTTAAACATCAGTTTCACCATAGTCGTGCAGCCCAAAGTTCATAGATGCATTGCGCCAAAACGCAAAAGACCTCAATTTTTTCCTCAACAGCAGTTGATAGACGACTGTTTGCTCAATAACTCAGCAAAAATCCAGGGGCGTGCGCCTTTAGCTGAATTTTCAAAAAAAATCCTGAGCGCACCCCAAAATGGAAAAAATCTGAAAAACCAAAAAACCTCAAATTTGCTTTTAGATGCACCAGCTTGGGTGCTGCCATGTTTCCAACTAAAGAAAAGTTTCAGTTGGGGGCCATCATCAGGGGAATTGTGTGACGGATGCGAATATGGAGGTCACCTTGACCTCAAAGGTGCAAACCACATTCCTGATTTAAAACAAAGACCTACTCGAAATCGCCAATATGTGCACTGGATAGAGCGCCATCTGATCGCCAAGTGAGCAAAGTTTCAGCTCCCTACCATCATCAGGCGCGTCACAATCCAGGAATTTTATCCAACCGAACCACTTCAGAAGCAATGCTGCAAACCGACTTTCGAAAATTAATTGCGCCCAAACTAAAAACGCCACCACTTTGCCAATATACTGGTTGCATAGATGGCGATCGGCTCTCCGAGGGTGCAAAGTTTCGTCCGCGCACCATCATCAGCAGAGTTGTCACATGAAAACCAAACTGGACTAGTCACTTTGGCTTCAATGGGGCCAGCAAACTTTCAAAAATTGGTGGCTTCCAACTGGAAAATAACCCAACTTTGCCAATATGCTTGCTGAAGTGGGCGACATTGGTGCTCTAACTGGTAGAAGTTTCAGCTGCGCGCCACCATCAGGGGAGTTAAAAACCTGTCCCAATGTCACTGATCCCAAATAACATGCACTAAAAAATCCATATCTTTTGAACGGCAAATCGCACCAACTTGCTCCAAACTACGTTGGATCGAGCAGAGCTGGGCGCATGGGCGAGCAAAGTTTCAGTGGCGTACCTGCCCAGGAACATTTTAACACACAAGTTTTAATTCAACTAACCATCAGTTTCCCCAAAATCGCGCAGTCCACAGTTAAAAAAATCGGTCCGCCCAACAGGAATCGAGTAGAAACTTAGGCAAAATGGCATGTTTATAGGCAGGCGTAAAATTAGGGGTCCAGCCCCTTGGGGACATTTTCAAAAAAATGCCTACTCCACCTGGTCAACTTTTAGGTTTGAATGGGGCAAGCCCAACGGAAAAATTAATTGCTCTTAAACCAAAGAGCACTCCCACTTCCCTATATGTGGGTTGGACTGGGCACTGGTGGGTGCCCAATTGAGGAAAGTTTCATCCCACCACCATCTTCAGGGGAGTCAGAGGCCACCTTCAAAGCGCTCCTCCAAGGGTAACGGCGGTAGTGTGCCTGTGACCACTGGAAGGTGGTCACAGGGTTGATGGGAAGTTTCCCTACGCCCCCCCAGAGGGTTTCCCTACGCCCCCAGAGGGTTTCCCTACGCCCGACAACGTTCCCCAGCCCCAACAGGAGGTTTTCCTACACCCACTCCGCTAGGCCCTTACCCTGCATGCTGATGATCCCCAGGCTCCAGAACAGGGCGTCACTCAAGCCGCCCAGGGAGCAGTGGGAGGCCCGGAGGGACGTGTAGACGAACATGGCGGCTGCCAAAAGCAGCCCAGTGGCCAGCACGTTGGCCAGCAGGTTGGGCTGGAAAGTGGCCAGGAAAATGTCCCTCGCTCCGTCCGATTGCTCCGGTTTGACATAGACGTGCCGCCTGCAACACTCCGCATAACCTCCCCCAAGCCCCTAACCTCAAACCTACTCGGATATGAAGATGTCCTGCGTGAAGACCATGTCGCTGTAGAGCTCGGGGCTTTTGATCACGCTGTCCAGCCCGATGTCCACCTCCTGGGACACGACCGCCCCTAGAAGGCCGCTCCAGTTGCCCGTCTCCCCTTTCAGGCCCAGAGTGGGGAAGCTTTTGACCGCCTTCCTGAAGCCACGCCCCCATTACCAAGCCACGCCCCCCGCCGCTCTATGGAGACACTCACGAGGCGTTCAGGTAGGCGCAGATATAATCGGCAATGCTGTCCAAATGGTCGGTGTCGTTGTCGTCCTCAACTGCCGCCTCTTCGGACACTGTTGCCGTCTCTTTGCCCGCCAGTTTTCTGCCGAAATTCAGCGCCGTCCCTTGGAAATCGATCCTGGTGTCGACTGATTGGTAGCTGCGCAGGTTGGCCACGCCCTCCTGATACGTCCATTGGCCTGCGCAAAGCCCCTCCGGCCAATCACAACAGACCGCCCTCTCCCCCACCACTTACCCAACGGGCGCACTACCAGCGACTGGTTGCAGGTTTTGCGCACCTTGTAGATCTGCAGCATGCAGAAGGAGAGGCTTTGAAGGCTGACGTTTTCGCCGGATGCTTTAGGCGGCATCGGATTGGCTGGATGGATGGGGGGCGTGGCCTGCGGCCGAACGCACGCCCCTAACCCGCCCACCTTCTCCCCTCCACTTGCGGTTGCCACGGCAACCACAAGGTCCAGGGACAGAGTGATGGCGCTGTTGCTCAAGCGGGCGAGCAGTTCGGCGTTGCCAGGCGCGTCCACCAGATGGCCGATGTGCAGCCACTTGAAGTAGATGTCGTTGTTGAAGCGGCTCAGCTGCAACAGAGGGCGTTGCTGCAGGGCGTGGTGGCAACGCCAACCACCCACCTGTTTCGGGTAGTCGGCCGCGTCCATCTGGCGGCTGATGAACGAAACAATGAGGACGCGCTTCACTTGGTGATTGACGTGGCTGTCAAAGCGGCGCAGTAGAGCGAAGCGCAGCCCGTTGCGGTTGAAGCAGTCTAGATGGCGCCGCAGGGCCTTCAAATTGCAGTCTGGGCGAGAGAAAGTGGGCGGTTAGTGGACTGATGCCTGAGGAGGCAGGCCAAATGTGCGAAACTTTGCATTTTTTTTGATTTTAACAGCTTTTGAACAATTTCGTTGCGAAAAATTTGGTAAATTTTTCGGGAAAATTGGGTGCAAACTGCAAAAATCGCCTGTAGCTCGCTTAATGTTTGTTCTAGCGAAAAAGTGGATACCAACTTTTTTGGGGGGCGCAAGCCCCCCATTGCAATGGCGTGCTCCGACTGGCGCCAGCATTTGTGGTTTGGGAGATTTTTCGCTTTTCCTCCAAACAACGTTTCGGCCGTTTTCTCCAAAACCAGCCCCAGGGGAGATTCCGCTCAATTACCCCTAAGTGCACGTCGACAGTGCGCACATTTTCCAAAGAATGAAGTTTTTCGATTGGACGCGTCCGTGGCGAGCAGAAACATCAAAGGCGATTTTTGCTGCAAATCTCGACCGTTTTGGCCCCGAAAAATTTTGGGCAAAATTTTTGTTTGTATTTTGAAACTTTTCCTGTACAGGCTGCTAAATATGGATAAAATTCATGCTATGAACGGTTGAGAAGTTTTCCCAAAAAATCCCCCACTAAGCAGGGGGGGAAAAACCAAAAACTTTGTACAGGCTCTTATGGGAGCGAAACTTTCAAACCCCCCTAAAATCCCCAAATCCCCATAAAATGTCAGGATTTTAACACTGTGTACTTTTCGTTCGCTCCTCTAGCCCCTAAGAAGAATTTTAAGCCAATGGCACAAAAGGGGGGAAACCACCATTTTAGCCCCATTCCGGCAAATTGGCTCAGAAACCCTAAAAACCTCCATAACTCTCTTATTATGCTTTGCTGGAAAAAAGTGAATACCGACTTTTTTATGGCGCTTGCGCTGCTCGATGCAGTGGCATGTCTATAATTTTCAAATTATTTTTAGTTTGGGAGATTTTTCAAATTTTCTGAAAACAACGTTTCGCCAATTTTTTCTAAAACCCTTCGCCGGGGAGCTTGGAAAGTGTCACCAGCAGCTAGCGGACGTTCGCCTGGATATTCTATCAAGAGCAACTTTTTTCGCTCAGAAGTTTGGTTTGCGAGCAAAAAAATAAAACGCAATTTTTGCCGAAAATTTCGGCCGTGTTGCCCCCGACAAATCGTGGCTCAAAAAAAATTTTTGGATTTTGCAAATTTTTTCTCTACAGTACTTTGAAAATGGATAAAATGCATGGCAAAGTGAGCTCGGAAGTTTTCCCAAAAAATCCCCCACTGAGCCCGGGGGGGAAAACCAGAAACTTTGTACAGGCTCTTATGGGAGCGAAACCTTCAAACCCCCCTAAAATCCCCAAATCTCCATGAAATGTCAAGATTTTAACACTGTGCACTTTTCATGGCCTCCTCTAGCCCCTGAGCAGAATTTTAAGCCAATGGCACAAAAGGGGGGAAACCACCATTTTAGCCCCATTCTGGCAAACTGGCTCAGAACCCAAAAAACCTCCATAACTCTCTAATTGCGCTTCCTAGAGAAAAAGTGAACACCAACTTTTTTATGGCACTTGCTCCGCTCAATGTAGTGGCATGTTTATAATTTCCGAGTTGTCTTTAGTTTGGGAGATTTTTCAAATTTTCTGAAAACAACGTTTCGCCCGTTTTTTCTAAAATCCTTCGCCGGGGAGCTTGGGAAGGGTCACCAGCAGCAAGCAGGCCTTCGCCCGGAGATTCCATAAAGAGCAACTTTTTTCGATCGAAGTTTGGTTTGCGAGCAAAAAAATAAAACGCGATTTTTGCCGAAAATTTCGCCCGTTTGCCCCCAACAAATCTTAAAACAAAAAAAAAATTGGATTTTCCAAATTTTTTCCCTACAGGATTTTGAAAATGGATGAAATGCATGGCAAAGTGAGCTCGAAAGTTTTCCGAAAAAATCCCCCACTGAGCCCGGGGGGGAAAACCAGGAACTTTGTACAGGCTCTTATGGGAGCGAAACCTTCAATCCCCCCTAAAATCCCCAAATCTCACTGAAATGCCAAGATATTAACACTGTGCACTTTTCATGGCCTCCTCTAGCCCCTGAGCAGAATTTTAAGCCAATGGCACAAAAGGGGGGAAACCACCATTTTAGCCCCATTCTGGCAAATTTTCTCCGAACCCCAAAAAACCTCCACAACTCTCTAATTACGCATCCTAGAGAAAAAGTGAATACCAACTGTTTTGTAGCGCGTGGGCTCCCCGATGCAGCGGCGCGCTCAGAATTTTCCAGCTGTTTTTACTTTGGGAGATTTTTCCAGTTTCCTGAAAACAACGTTTCGCGCATTTATGCGAAAACCCGCCGCAGGGGCGCTCGGCAAAAACAACCAGCAGCTGCCCGAGCGGCTCCCGGATATCTAAGCAAGAGCACCAGTTTTCGATTGGAAGCTTGGTTTGCGCGCAAAAAACCAAAATGTGAAAATTCGCCAAAATCCTGAACTGAGGTTGGCGGCCTGAAAATTAGGGCCAAATTTTTTTTGGATTTTCCAAATTTCCCCCCCGTGCAGGGCTAGATATGCCCAAAACACGTGCCCCTAGGCCCTAAAAGGTTTGGGGAAAAAATCCCCCACTGGGCCAGGGGGGGGGAAACCCAACATCTCCACTGGCTGCTGTGGGAGCGCAGCCCACCCAAAAAAACCCTCATATTTCCCCAACTGATCACTCGAGCAAAAAAGTGCCGGGGACCTTTTTTGTCCCCAATGCCCCCCCCAATCTAACCCCGTTCCCCCAACCCCCCCATCAGGGCTGGCCTAGGAGATATTTGCGAGAAAACCCTGAAAAACCTCCAAAGGACATTTTCCCCAAAAGCAGCAAAAAAAAAATACTTCCCCCCCAGCCAGGCAGGTACAGGGTGGCTCAAACACATCCCCAAACCCGCGCCTACCTGATCGGATGGCCTCGTCCACGATATACAGGGTGGCGATGTTGCGCCAGGCCGCATAGTCCACAATCAGCTGCACCACAGCGCTGCTGAAGGGCGTGGAGCAGTTCGCGATGGTTCTGGAACCGTGCCACGCCCTGCTAGAGCTGGACAGCGCCGTAAATAGCAGCAGCACCAACCACACCAACATCTAGCCGGCTAATGGGCCATTGGCGTGCGTCGCCCTCCACTCATTAGCGGGCAAATGCGATTAGTTGCGGCCGATTTTTCCAATTTTTGGGCCAACTTTCAATCATTAGCGGGGCCGCCTAATGAGCGGGGCAAAGTGGCGCGACTCTAATTAGCGCCGGGCACCGTTTCGTCCGCGATTTTCCTCAAATAAAGCACACTTAAGCAACTTTTCAAAGTCGCACGTACCGCACGCAAACCAGCCTCGCTTCGCTGCAAAACAATCAACAAACGCGCCGATTTTCCCAAACATGATGTGTTGATTTTTTGGGTTTGATTCTGGCCTTCGGTCGGCTGCCAATGGCATAGTAGGCGCCCGCCCGCCAATGAGTGCACAGTTTTTTGCCCGTTTGAGTGAAGCCTGGATTTTCGGGATTTTCTGGTGAGTGCCACTGCCCCCTTTCACCCTCGGCCCGCTCGGATGCCAAACTTCCCTGAATCTCCTGGAAAATCGGGATTTTAGCCTACTTTCCGGGCTAGCCCTTCAAGCAGGCCCGCTGGCCCAAAAGGGCCCTCCCGATGAAACATCGGGCCGCCCCCCAGCCACCCAGCGGCGAAGCCGCCAAAGCGCTAGCGGGCCTGGTGTGGGCGCTGCGGCCCCAAACAGGCTGGCGCCTAACCTCAAAATCGCCGCTAGCCCCAAGGGGGGCGCGCCCCTGCATCGGCCACCCCCAAACCCGCCCCAAGTGCTCTTTGCACTTTTGCGCTGCGCCCCCTAATAAGCGAGATATTGGCCCCAAAGCCCCGGCCAAAAGTGACAGCTCAACGTCACAAACGTCATTTAACTGTAACCACTCCGCAGAGCTTCAGAGCGACGATGCCAGCCTACCGCTGTTTCCTCGGGGAGTTCGAGCGGCCCCTCTACTGGGGCAACCTGGCAGCGTTGCTGCTGCTCCACATCCTGGCCGTCGGCTACTTCCTGTACAAGCTGGCAACGTTCGATGCGCAACACGACCCGTTCCTGCTGGCATACGGTGGGTTTCAGGGGGTTTCCCCTGGTTGCCGATAATTGCCGCGTTGTTTTGCAGCCGTGCTGGTGGGAATTTTGGGCGGACTTGGCATCACTGGCGGTGCGCACCGCTACTGGACGCATCGCTGCTTCAAGGCCACCACGCCCGTCAAGCTGCTGTTCCTCGTGCTCTACTCCATCTCTGGGCAGGTGAGCGAATGAGCGTGGGCGCGGCGCCATCTAGCGGCCAGTGTGGCGTTTTTGCAGAATAATCTGCGCGATTGGGTGCGCGACCATCGCGTCCATCACAAGTTCAGCGAGACTGACGCCGATCCACACAATGCGAATCGGGGCTTTTGGTTCGCGCATGTGGGCTGGCTGTGCATGCGCAAGCACCCTCTAGTGGCCCAGAAAGGAAGGACTGTAGACGTGAGCGACATCACGCAGGATCCGCTGCTGGCGTTCCACGTGCGGTAGGTGTTGCCTTCTCGCTTCCTCCCGCCCCAGATGGTGTCACTCCCTCTTTGTTTTCTGCCCCCCCCCACACAGGCACTGGGCGTGGTTCAAGTTGGCGTTTTGCTTCGTCATCCCCACCCTGATTCCCCCACTTTTTTTCGGCCAGCCCGCCTCCACAACGTTCTGGTTGGTCTGCATCGTGCGCTACGCCTCCAACCTGAACTTCACATGGGCGGTGAACAGTTTTGCGCACATTTGGGGCAACAAGCCCTACAACAGGTGATTGGAGTTTGGGGTTGGGGGGGGGGAAATTGCGAATTTTTCCGGGAAATTCTGGACTTTTGCAGGACGATCCAGCCGGTGGAGAACCCCTATGTGTCGCTGGTGGCGCTGGGGGAGGGATGGCACAACTACCACCACTCTTTTCCCTGGGATTATCGGGCGGCCGAGCTGGGGAGGGGATTGAACCTGACCACGATGTGTCTGGATCTGTTGGCGAGGGCGGGGCTTATCTACGACCTGAAGGCCACGCCCCCCCGCATGGTGCAGCAGCTGGCCAAGCGCAGGGGCGACGGCTCGGGGCGACCGCCTGCCGCCCTTTTTTGCGAATAGGAAATACACTGTTGTGAACGAGAACATTTTTAGGTTATTCTTCTCATAACTTCCCGCTACCCTAACCAATTTAAAGTCCTGTATTTCCCAAACAGTTACAGATACGAACTAAGGCCATCAAACAAAGGTTCTAGAGAATGTCATGTTCTGTCAACTGGGCTTTCAATGTTGTCAAAATTTGCCCAAATGCCAAAGTTATAGGCAAAAGACTGTGAGGAGACAGCGGGCAACATTGACTTCATGGTTGCCCGAATTCAAAGGCCTGTAAATCGCAAATGGTTGCAGATGCGAACTAAGGCCATGAAATAAAGGTTGTAGATAATGACAATGGCTGCCCAACTGTTTTTGAAATCTTTCAAAATATTGAAAATTGTCCGACTTATCGGCAAAAGACTATGAGCCAACAGCGGACGCACTTACTTCATGTTTGCTCAGTTTCAAAGTACTGTATTTCCCAAACGATTGCAGATTCGAACCAAGGCCATGAAACAAAGGTTATAGGGAAGGCCATTGCCCAATCAAAAATGTTAGCAAATTTGCAAAATTGTCAAAATTGACAAAGTTATAAGGAAAAGACTGCCAGCACACAGTGAACACACTTGGTTGATGTTTTTTCAGGTTCAAAGTCCTGTACTTCGCAAATGGTTGCAGATGCGAACTAAGGCCATGAAACAAAGGTTGTAGCTAATGAAAATTGCTGCCCAACTGTTTTTGAAATTTTTCAAAATATTGAAAATTGTGCGACTTATCGGCAAAAGACTATGAGCCAACAGCGGACACACTTACTTTATGTTGGCTCAGTTTCAAAGTACTGTATTTCCCAAACGATTGCAGATTCGAACTAAGGCCATGAAACAAAGGTTATAGAGAAGGCCATTGCCCAAACAAAAATGTTGGCAAATTTGCAAAATTGTCAAAATTGACAAAGTTATAAGGAAAAGACTGCCAGCACACAGTGAACACACTTGGTTGATGTTTTCTCAAGTTCAAAGTCCTGTAGTTCCCAAACAGTTACAGATTCAAATTTAAGCCATCAAACAAAGGCTGTAGCTAATGAAAATTGCTGCCCCGCAGTTTTTGAAATTTTTTAAAATATGAAAATATTTTCATAAGCGAGAAGAGTGGGACCAGCAGCAGCGCGCAGATTCTTGCGGCATATCAACTTCAAAGCCCGTTTACGCAAAAACCGTGCCAGCTATCAAAATTTTCCAAGACACCAAATTTATTCAGAAATCACCGGGCTTCAACACAGTATAAGTGGCGCAGCTCAGTTGCCACTGTTGCCAGAGTTACAGGCAAGAGAACCCAATGGCGACTCTACATCTTTTCACCGCCCAACCAGGCCATTTTGGCTGCTTATAATTCCATGTGAATATTTACCCACAACCGCCCCGTTCGGCCCTTCGAGACGGCAATCTTATTAAAGGGGCGAAATCCGGTTATTTTGGCAGAAAGTAGGGGAAGTATGTCGAACAACAACAGCCACCCTTGTGAAACTTGCCAACACTTTGGGGACTCTATCTGAATAATTTCCATAATCTTGATACAGCGGGCCGAAGGGTGCGTCTGCCCTTCGCGTGTTTACGAACTTGCCACATTCCTGCTGGGGCTCTTTTATTTTTTCCTGCAGGGATTTGTACGATGACTCGACAGGAACACACCGTTTGATTGTGTTGAGCATTTTTGATCGTAACTCGCTTAGTTTGGGGTTTTGTGGGAAAACTGAAAAATCGGGTTATGGACAGCGGTTTTGGCTACAAAGTGGGTGTCTAGACATTTTTGGCCAAACTCCCCAGTTTTTGAGTAAACGCCCGAAGAATTTGAGATGGCGCAAATCTCTGCTGTCTGCTGTCCACGCAAACTCTTTTTCCGGTAACTTGGTCAATTTTCACAAAATTTTTTGTTCTTCGCGCGCCATCTGGTAGCCCAAACTCATTCCGATAAAATTACTCTCTTTACAAATTTCTGTAAATCAAGCAGTTTTTGAGTAAACGCCTTTTGAATTGGAGATGATGTGAAACTCTGCTGTCTACTTCTCAGTCACACTCATTTGTCCCTACCTTGGCCAAATGTCAAAAATTTGAAACTGCTTCAACGCCCTCTGGTGGCCAATGAGGCTGGCTTCAAAATCAGTGTCTTCTGCATTTTCGCCAAACCGAGTCGTTTTTGAGTAAAGGGCCTTTGAATTTTAGCTGATGTCAAACTCTGCTGTCTACTTCTCTGTCAAACTCTCTTTGCCATACGTCAGTAAAATGTCAAAATTCTGCAAGTGCTCCAGCGCCATCTGGCGGCAAACTGGACGTTCTCGATAATCTATGTCTATTTGAACTTGGCTAAATCTACTAGTTTTTGAGTGAGCAGCTCTTGAATGTCTGACGATGCCAAACGCACTGTGCACTCACACTCTTTTGCCGATAACTCGGCGAGTTCTAAATATTTTTCGGCTGATGAAACGCCGTTGGAAAGCTGATGCAATTTGCAAAAAAGGCTCTAACTAGCTTAATCGGGCTAAATCGGACAGTTTTCGAGTAAACAGCCATTGAAGTTGCGTGCACTAAAAAAGCAGCTGGCCACTGCTTCGTGACACTCCCTCGGCCCTAACTCAGCTCGTCGTCAATTTTTCGCAGCGCTTGCAACTGCGCTGGATAGAGCGATCAGCCGGCTCAAAATTCAGTGTCTTTAACAATTGCTCTATCTCTGCCCGTTTTTGCTTAATCGGCCGATCAGTCACTTCGAATATTCCCAAAACTTTGTCGCTTAGCAAACTGCACTTTTCGACCAAATAAAGGCGCAAAGAGGCGAATAGGTGACAGTGCGGCATTCAACAGACATTTAATTAACCAGGCCAGTCGACGATCCACCCTTAGGTAGAAATGCCACGCCCTCCGTGAAGGGCAAAGGCCCCTTTGAGTTGTTTTGTTCCACTGGCAACAATCGCACAATACACGCAAACCCGCGGGTTAGGGATGGGGTCAAAGCAGCCCTCGTGTAAGGGCCCTTTTGTTGTCCAGAGGGCTGACACCCTTAAGGTAATAAGAGGCAAAGAACACGAGTTTTGAAGTGAATTACGAGCGGCCGCTCGCCAGGTGCACATAAACGCTTTATGGGCCATAACGGCAGTTTATTTTCCATTATTCTCGGTTATTTCAGAGCGCGACACTGTCTACACATGTTGTAGTGTGCAGCGCTGATGAATTAGTGACGTGTCGGGTGGCTGGTGGGGCCCCAAATGGCCGCTGACTGGATTGCTACCGACTGCGCCAGATTCCCTGCCTTCAAGCAGCCGTAGCTCGGTTGTTTGAGGAGGTTTTTCAAAAATTTGCGAACTTTTGGGTAGCCCATGGGGCGGGCTACAAGTAAGGTTCTAAGGCTCAATTGGCTAGCTCTAAGCGTTTTGCAGTTGGACGGTGGTTTAAGAAATTGGGGCCACGCTAAACTTTCCGCTGTCAGCTCACGAGCTTTTTGCCGGCAACTCGGCCAATTTTCGCGCTTTTTGAAAATTTTGCCTCCTGCTGCATCCACAGGGGCATGCTCAAAAGTTCCGTGGCGTGGCCTTAGTTCCTATCGGCAACAGTTTGGAAAATAATCAGCTTTGAATTGGAGTCAACGTGAAGTTATTGGGGCACACAGTCTATTGCTTATAACTCCGGCGCGTGTCACTATTTTCAGAAATGCCCCATACGGTATGGTAGACAATTGTATTCTCGACAACTTCGGTATCAAGGCCTTAGTTCGCAATGTTAGCCGTTTGGGACATACAGGACTTTGAATTTGGAAGAACATGAAGTCAGCGGGGCCACTGTGGACTCGCAGTCTTTTGACCATAACTTTGTCATTTTTCAAGTTTTTTTAAATTTTTTTAATGCCTTGGACAGCTAATGGAATTCGCTAAAAGTCTTGTTCTATGGCCTTAGTTCTCATAGGCAACCGTTAGGGAAATACAGGACTTTGAATTCGAGCGACCATGATGTCAATGTTTGCCACTGTCTAGTCACAGTCTTTTGCCTCTAAATTTGGAATTTTTGCAAATTTTGACAATTTTGTGAAACCTTATTGACAGAACATGGTATTCTCTAACATCTGTGTTCTATGGCCTTAGTTCATATCTGTAACCGTTTGGGAACTACAGGACTTTGAATTTGAGAAAACATCAACTAAGTGTGTTCACTGTGTGCTGGCAGTCTTTTCCTTATAAGTTTCTCAATTTTGATAATTTGGCAAATTTGCCAACATTTCTGTGTGGACAGTCGCCTTCCCTATAACTTTGGTTTCACGGCCTTAGTTCGAATCTGCGAGCGTTTGGGAAATACAGCACTTTGAAATTGAGCAAACATGAAGTCAGTGTATCCGCTGTTGGCTCATAGTCTTTTGCCGATAAGTCCGACAATTTTCAATATTTTGAAAAATTTCAAAAAGGTTAGACAGCAAAATCCATTACCTACAACTCTTGTTTCATGGCCTTAGTTCATATCTGTAACTGTTTGGGAACTACAGGACTATGAACTTGAGAATACGTCAACTAAGTGTGTTCACTGTGTGCTGGCAGTCCTTTCCTTATAACTTTGTCAATTTTGACAATTTTACAAATTTGCAAACATTTATCTATGGTCAATGACCTTCTCTATAACATTTGTTTTATGGCCTTAGTTCGAATCTGCCACCGTTTGGGAAATACAGTGCTTTGAAATTGAGCAAACATGAAGTCAGTGTGTCCGCTGTTGGCTCATAGCCTTTTGCCGATAAGTCCGACAATTTTCAATATTTTGAAAAATTTCAAAAACGTTTAGGCAGCAAAATCCATTATCTACAACTCTTGTTTCATGGCCTTAGTTCGTATCGGCAACCGTGTGGGAAATACAGCACGTTAAATGTGAGCAAACTTCAAGCCAATGGGTCTGCCACTGTCCACTTGCAGTTTCTTGCCCACAACTCGCTCAGTTTTGGAGATTTTGCAAAATAGCCAAAAGCTGGTGACAGCCAGTGTCATTTGCCACAACTCCACTGTCAAGGCCATTTTTCCT